AACGCAATAAATTTTGTTCGCAAGGGAAGGACCGTAATAGTCTGCGTGACGTTAGCCGATGCCTCGAAGTTTCCTTATCCGGTTAATCTTGCACAATTTACTTCAGTTCCCCTTGCTCATAAAGCTCTTCAAAAATTTTTTCTTCACTCCTGATTCTCATTTGAACCATACTTTTTTTCTTGAGCTCCGCACCGGATCAGACAAAAACGATGTATTTATAGCCTTCACACTCGTAACAATATCCAGCTTGTCCCGTAAGCCATCTATGCCAAACCGTGCAGTGTGCGCCCATTTTCTGTTCACTTTTATTGAGGCCCGTGCATACACGCAACAATAAGTCTATTTTTTCTTTCCTATGAGGATGACGGTTTTGTTTTTTATGCAATCTTCCGTACATTTGAAAAAGTCCTCTTCTGTTCCCTTTTTTCCGACTCGAAATTCCGGGTATTCGTATTTCGGCATCTTACTCTCGCATTGTTCCCAGCAGATCTAAAATACTATTATCAAAATTTAGACTTGAAAGATCACTATTAAAACTGTCTTCATCAAGCTGCTCATTGACATACCGCTCCTACACTGTGGAAGAGTTCTACTTGTCGCCAATCCTCTGGCAACCCAACTACCAGGCTCTGCTTGAGCACGCGAAATCTTCGCCACATAGGGGTTACGCATCCGCGGAAACAATCAGCAAATTCGTCGCCGTCTGGCTTTTCCTTGCATTTATCGATGCACAGCTGAAATATCATTATCAAAATTCACACCTTAAATATCACTATTAAGACTATGATCACCAAGTTGCTCATTGACATACCTTGAAGATAGCGTTTGTACAACATTTAGGCGTAGTAACTGAGTGACACAGGCACAGGCACACCAGAGAAGCAAAGAAGTATGCGATGATGAGTCTCATGTCGGATTCTGAAAAAATGCTTAATTGTATTAGGCCAAAAAAGCATAGATTGAAGACGCTGTAAGCGGTAAGCAAAATCTATCCATAACATTGGAAGAGGATGGAATAGCCAGGAGAGGTGAAGTTAAAAAATTTGTGACATGGGCACATTTTGCCCAATGAAGTTTTTATGTCAGCGAGCATTCTGGAGAAATTTGTGCTTTGTAAACGTGCCAGAGTGGTAGATTGAAAGAAGCGGAAGCAAAGCCGTCATGAGAAAAGAACGAAGTTGCTTGACACGGGCACACTTATATTTGTTTTTGGCGCTTTCATTTGTAACGAAAAATCATCAAGAAAAGCCGAAGTGTCGTTAAGC